GTCAGTGCTGAGGGAGCAGGCACTGTCAGAGGGTCAGTGCTGAGGGAGCGCCACACTGTGGGAGGGTCAGTGCTGAGGGAGTGGGCACTGTTGGAGGGTCAGTGCTGAGGGAGCGGGCACTGTCGGAGGGTCAGTGCTGATGGAGTGCCGCACTGTCAGAGGGTCAGTGCTGAGGGAGTGCCGCATTGTTGGAGGGTCAGTGCTGAGGGAGTGCCGCACTGTCAGAGGGTCAGTGCTGAGGGAATGCCGCACTGTCAGAGGGTCAATGCTGAGGGAGCAGGCACTGTCGGAGGGTCAGAACTGAAGGAGCACCGCACTGTTGGTTGTGCCATCTTTCAGATCTGGGTGATTGTAACATTGCTTTGCGTGGGAGGTTGCAATCTGTAAATTAGCTGCTGAATCTCCTATCAGCGACTGCCTTTGTTTTAAAGCACTTTGGAATAGTCTGAGGTGTGAGTGCTTAAGCTCCCACGTTGTTGGCAGGTTCTCATTTGCAATCGGAGAAGGAGCTAGGGAGTCTTGCCACTACCATAAATTCTGTGAGACTCAAAATATTCGAAAGGAAGTAGGCACGCAGTCTCTCTGAGACTGACACTTTGAAACGTTCTCAGCCTGGCTCCTCTTTCTCGGTCTCACTCAGCTCAGCTCGGCTCAGACAAACAGGCGAATGATTCTCGACAAAGTGCAGCAGTGACCCCTACAGTTTGTGCAGATACAACAGGAACCAAAGAACAGAGAGAAAAACACAGGAATTCAATTTCAATATTTGTCCGTCTTTGGATGAGAAAGACTTGCATATCTCTTGAGCCATTTGCAATCCCAGGACAAATTGTAGGCCTCAACAGCCAAGGAAGTAACTATTGTTAAAGTGAGGCCACTGTTGTGATGTAGGAAACATGAAAATTCAACTGGCAGCACAGCAAGATCCTACATGCAGCCATGTGCTAATGACCTAGAGCATCTGGCATTCTCAGTGAATGTGTTGTGGGATTGAAATTCGCACAAAGTCACTGGATAGGACTCACCCCTGCTGTTCTCCGAAACAGGGGGCATGGGATCATTTGCTGTTACCTTCAGAGGGTCCTCAACCTGGATATTTATTCCCTCGCTGCATGTGGGATCTTGCTGTGCATAGTGTTTCTGATTTACGTTACAACAGTGACAACATTTCAATGAAAAGCTTTTGCTTTTTGATTTGTTGATTGGACATGGGCATCACAGGCTGGGTCAGCAATTATTGCCTGTCCCGAACTAGCCTGGGGAAGGTGGTGCTGAGCTGCCTTCTCAAACCTGGGAGTTCCAGGATTTTGATCCAGTGACAGTGAAGGAACAGTGATATGTTTCCAAGTCTGGATGGTGAGTGGTTCAGAGGGGCTTGTGTTCTCAATGAATCTACTGCCCTTGACCTTCTGGATGGTAGCTGTAATACCTCAGGAAGCTCCCTGGAAAGTAACATCATTTATTGGTGAACACCAAAACAGAGCTATTACATGTGGTATGTGGTATTAGTTCCAACTCAGGACACACCATTCTGCACACCCAGCCTCGCATTTGTTTTATAAATATTTTCCTAATCAACCTGCTCAGAGATGTTATACACACCCGTAGAGGAGGTAGGACTTGAGCCTGGGCCTCCTGGCTGAGGGCTAGGGGCATTATCACTGCACCATTACAACCCTCCTGGGTCTGCTTAATTTTTTTCTCTCTTATACCCTGCCACATAACTGAGCGACTTCACCATTGGGATTTCTTTTTAAATTACTTCAACTACCCCCAGTAATCATCTGTGTAGTCAATCAAATATTTCCCAGCAAAGGCCTTTATGGGCAATGCGAACTATCAAAAATGTAGGGACAGTGGGAAGGGGCTAAATCAATCTGGAGTTGGAGAGGGAAATAAAGCACTGTATTCCCCACAGCACCCACCTCTCTCTAAAGGCATGAGACAGAAGGATGGATTTGAACCAAGGTCCCTTCAGCATTCTGTGTGTCTCTGGATTATTACACTATCAACTCCCCAGTAAAAGCAGCTAAAAGACGGAGTTTCAAGAGGACAGGCCATGCCTGTTACCAAGGGAACTCATACTCAACTCGCTCCCTGAGGAGCTCCACGGGCCTTGCAGGGGCTGTCACATTCATAGTTGTGGGTTTGGAAGGTGATTTCTAAGAAGCCATCGTGAATTTCTGCAGTGTATCTTGTAAATGGTACAAAGTGCTGCCACAGAGTGTTGGTGGTGGAGGGACTAGATGTGGTGCCAGTCAAGTAGGATGCATTATCCTGGATGGTGTAAAACTTCTTCAGTGTTGTTGGAGCTGCATTCTGCCAGGAAAGACGGAAGTATTCCATCATACTCCCGACTTGTGACATGTGCTCCTGACAGGTTCTGGGAAGTCAGGAGATGAGTTACTCACTGCAGGATTCCCAGCTTCTGACCCACTCTTGTTGAGACTGAATATACATAACCAGTCCCGTTCAACTTTTTGGTCAATAGTAACCTCCAGGATGTTGCTCATGGGGGATTCAGTGGTGGTAATACTAATGAATTTCAGAGGGTGATGGATAGATTGCCTAGTGCTAGCAGTTGTGTGGCACCAATGTTACTTGCTACTTATTATCCCAAGTCTCAATATTGTCCTGTTACATTCCCCATTCTGACCTTATGATGGAGGTAAGGTCATTGATGAAGCAGCTGAAGATGGTTGGGCTGAGGACACTACCCTAAGGAACCTCTGCAGAGATGTCCCGGAGCTGAGATGATTGACCTCCAACAACCACAACCATCTTCCTATGTGTCAGATATGACTCCAACCACCAGAGAGTTTGTCCCCTGATACCCATTGACTCCAGTTTTGCCAGGGCTCCTTGATGTGCTAAGTGGTTCTGATGGAACCCAAACTGTGCATCACTGTGCAGCTGATGCTTGATAGCGCTGTTACTGACACCGTCCATCACTTTACTGTTGATCGAGAGGAGATTGATGGGGCGGTAATTAGCCAGGTTGGATTTATCCTTCTTTTTGTGTACAGGACATACTTGGGCAATTTTCCACATTGTCGTGTAGATACCAGTGTTGTAACTGTACTGGAACAGCTTGGCTAGGGGAGCAGCAAGTTCTGGACCATGTCTCCAGAATATTGCTGGAATGTTGTCAGGGCCAGTAGCCTTTGTAGTATCCAGTGTCTCCAAATGTTTCTTGATATAACAAGGAATTAACTGAATCGGCTGAAGGCTGGTATCTGCATAGCAGGGGACCACTGGAGGAGGCTGAGATGGATCATCCACTCGGCAGTTCTGGCTGAAGATTGCTGCGAATAATTCAGCCTTATCTTTTGCACTGATGTGCTGGGCTCTTCCATTACTGAGGATGGGGATATTTGTGGAGCTTCTTCCTCCAGTGAGTTATTTAATTGTCCACCACCATTCATGACTGGATGTAGTAGGACTGCAGGTGAAGTTAGTGGGGTGTGTTTTGGAGGGGCTGAGCTGATGCAAGGTGTAATTATTTCATTTATTTAATTGTTTTGTTCATTGCTCTCTGGATGTGGGCCCTGCTGAAAATGGTGATATTCATTGCCTGTCTTTAATTGGTCATTTTCTTTTCACCAATTATCACTTCCTTGGCTGCTGGAGAGGACATGAAAAATCATCTCCCTTGGTCTGGTACTGGGGTCACCCAGAAACAGAGACCAGCTCAGAGAGGCAAGCTGTCCTACTTGTATCAGTCTGTAAGTTGGGTTTTCAATTGTCAGAATTTAATAAATCCCCAATTCATTGATTTGAGTCTCACATCATGGTGGGAGAGAAATCAAACCCATGTTCTTAGGGTTACATAAGAAGCTGATTGGAGCATCAGGCCTGGTCCATCATTCTGTAAGATCATTGGCTGATCTGCTGATGGTATTAACTCCACCCTCTCCTGCCTGCTTCCCCTCTCCCTCCCCACCCCAATACTCCACCACACTCTTGTCAATCAAAAATCTCTCTAATTCAGCCCTAAACACACAGCTTCCACTGCTTGGGGTGGGGAGGGGTGGGGTGGAGCGAGAGAGACAAAGACAGAGAGAGAGAGACGGAGAGAGAGAATTCCACACACTCACTACCCTCTGTGAAGAAATTCCTGCTCATCTCCCTTAAATGGGAGACCATTCATTTATAAACCATGGCCCCTAGTTCCAGAACCCCCAAACAGGGGAGTCATCCTCTCCGTATCTACCCTGTGTAGTCCTCTCAGGACCTAAACAAAAAAACAACCAACTGCGGATGCTGGAAATCTGAAACAAAAACATAAATAGCTGGAGAAACTCAGCAGGTTTGGCAGCAACTGTGCAGAGAAAGCAGAGTTAATGTAGGCCCGGTGACCCTTCTTCAGAATGGCATTAACTCTGTTTTCTCTTCTGAGATGCTCCAGACCTGCTGAGTTTCTCCAGGGATTTCTGTTTTTCTTTCAGGATCTTACGTTTCAATAAGATCACCTCTCATGCTTTGAAACTTTGATCAGGAGAGGCTCAATGTGCTAACCTTTCTTCACAAGCTTGCTAGTCTCATCAGACAAATCACTACATTCCCATAGGATGTAACACAATACTTCCCCATAGTAAACTGAGACAAGGACAGAGATGAGTGGGTTATAACAGCACATTGCAGGGCTGTAACTGAGGTATTAAAGACTGTAAGTACTGATAAAGCTCACAGGTGACATTGAAACTGAACTTGCTGATTTGGACAAATATCTCTCTGTTCTTATTGGTAGGACACTGGTTTTAAATCAGAGCTTACCACCTGGTGTTTGGGAGATTAGGTCAAAGCTTTTCTCTTGATTTGCCCTCATCTCCCTGCAGTGAGCTGTACAGCTCCACAATGGATGAACAGGTTAGGACTCCCGCACTCAAGCCTATCTGATTGGGCTGCATTGTGAATCTCCCTGGCCCCAGCAGCCCTCCCCACTCTGTACAGTGAAAGAAAGAGTGTGGCACAGGGTTGTGTGAGAAACCAGCACAGACATGGTCCTGCTCAAAGTGAAATTCACCTTTCAAAAACGCATGCACTTGGCACAAACTCTATGGGTGCTCTGCTGGCTTTCGGTCCTGACTGGAATCCTGACTTTCGCTTTGGGAATCTACCTCAAATGTGAGCTGAAGAGACGGAATGAGGTGATGGACAATACTGACATCCACCTTGTCCCCAACACTCTGATTGCTGTGGGCCTCCTGTCTGTGCTCCTCAACTTCACCGGGGTGAAGATCTGCAGTGACTCACTGGACCTGGCCAAGTTTCCCCGATGGAAGGGTTACATAGAGCCCTACCTCGTCTTCTCGGTCCTCTTCACCTTCCTCATGCTGTTTGCTTCGCTCCTGAGCTACTTCATGAGAGGAAACCTGGACACATCGCTGAAGATTGGCCTGAGAAACGGAATTCGTTTCTACAAGGACACAGACACCCCAGGAAGGTGCTATCAGAAGAGGACCATAGACCACATCCAGATGGAGTTCCAGTGCTGTGGTAACAACAACTACAAGGACTGGTTTGAGGTGCAGTGGATCAGTAACCGATTCCTAGACTTTAACAACAAAGACATAAGGGAGTAAGTTCTGACAAAACATCACGAGCCTGAAATGTTAACTCTGTCTCTCTCTCCCCTTATAAATGGTTCTGAGAGTCTCCTGTGTTTTCTGTTTCTATGTCAGTATTTCTTTCAGCCTCATCTCCTTGAAAGGTGTTGATCTTTTCTGTGTTCTCCCATCCAATCCCTGTCCCCTGTAATCTCTCTGCTTGGACTCCCTCAATAGGATGACCTAACTGAGGCAGTTTGAGGTCAGTAGAGAGAGATTCAGCCTGATTGAGGGGCAGAACCTTCAGATTGGAGCTGGGGTGATTTTCGTTACATCGAATTGACAGCTCAGCCAGGCCATTGGAGCCAAGGCACAATGTAATGCAGAGTCTGCCAGTCCTTTCTCCTTTGTGTGCTTTAATAATTCCTACATTTCATCCCCAGCTAAGACTGTTCCGAGATTATAGCGCAAGGGGAGATGGGTTTAAGGCGTGATCTGATTGAATGGTACAGTAGGGCTGAGGAGCTGAATTGCCTCCTGCTGTGCTGGTGTTGAGTGTGAATTGAATTTCTGGAACTGAAAGTTCAGGGAGTTACATACAGGTGTACAATCTAGAGCAGGAGATGGCCACTCTGTCCTTTCAACTTGCTCCGCCTTTCCGAAAGATCCTGGCTGATCCAGATGTGGCCTCACCCCCACAATCCCACTGACGCACCCCAACCCCATCCAGTACTGTTTGGTTAGTCAAGACCCTCTCTACCTCCACCTTCAAAATGTACACTGAGGCCACTTTTGGAATACTGCATTCGATTCTGGTCTCCCTGCTACAGGAAGGATGTTGTGAAACTTGAAAGGGTTCAGAAAAGATTCACTGGGATGTTGCCAGGGTTGGAGGGTTTGAGCTATAGGGAGAGGCTGAATAGGCTGGGACTATTTTCCCTGGAGTGTTGGAGGCTGAGGGGTGACCTTATGGAAGTTTATAAAATCATGAGGGACATGGATAGGGTAAATAGCCAAGGTCTTTTCCCCAGGGTAGGGAGTCCAAAACTAGAGGGGCATAGGTTTAAGGTGAAAGGGAAAAGATATAAAAGGGGCAATGTTTTCACACAGAGGGTGGTGTGTGTGTGGAATGAGCTGCCAGAGGAAGTGGTGGGGGTTGGTACAATTACAACATTTAAAAGGCATCTGGATGGGTATATGAGTAGGAAGGGTTTCGAGGGATATGGGCCAAACGCTGGCAAATGGGACTGGATTAATTTAGGATATCTGATCGGCATGGACGGGTTGGACTGAGGGGTCTGATCCGTGCTGTATATCGCTGTGACTCTAGGACTGGGTAGAAGAGTCCCACAGCCTTCTGAGAGAGTCAGACTCCTCCTTAGCTCCATTATATTGGTCAGAGCGCACAAAGGGTACTGCATGTGGTTCCAGTCACCTATTACTACAGGAGATGGAGGCACTGGAGAGGGAGCACAAACGGTTTACCAGAAATGTATATATTTGCACATGAGGAAAGGATAACAGGCTGGGGGGCTTCTCTCAGGACCATGCACTGGAGGTAGTTTAAAAGAGATTCACTGGGAAGAAAGAGTTGACTTATCAAGAATGGCTAAACAAGTTAGGCCTTTATTCATTAGAGTTTAGAAGAATGAAGGGTGGTCTTATTGAACATATAAGATTCTGAAAGGATTTGACAGAATAGATGTTGAGATGTTTTCACGAGTAGGAGAATATCAAACTAGGGAACAAAGTTAAGGGGACGACACTCATTTAAAACTGGAGTTTATGAATGTGTGGAGTTGTCTAGCCAGAGAGTAGTGCAGGCTACATCACTGATAGTATGTAAAGAGGAGAATATCAGGGAGTTGAGGGTAATGAGGACTGGGCACAGAAGAGGATTTGAGTCCTGGGGCAGGACTGATGGATCAAATGGCCTCGTCTTGTTCCCATTTCTTATGCTCTGAAGCTGGGCAGGGACCTAATTGAGGTCACTAACATGATGAAAGGTTCTGGTAGAGTGGATACAGAGACAATGTTTCTTCTGTCAGGGAAAAGCAGACCTAAGGGACAATCAATATCACCCGGTCACCCAGGGATCTGAGCAGGAATTCAGGAGAAACATTCTCCCTCCCCCTCTTCCCCCCACCCAGAGTGGGGAAAATGTGGGACATACTCCTTCAGGGAGGGCCCCAGGGCAATCGTGTCTATCCAGTGAAGAGAAAGCTCAACAAATGTGTGAGGGAGAAAGGAGGACAGGGCTCTATGGTAAGTGAAGGAGAAAGGAGGACAGGGCTCTATGGTAAGTGAGGGAGAAAGAAGGA